AATCTAAGGGACAATTGTCTGGCGGACATCTAAAGTGATGGTCATTTGCTGATGAACACCCCGTTTTGAGCAGTTTGCCAGAAGACACTCTGGTTCGGTGAAATTAGACCATAGGACACCGCGGACCGGTTGCAGCCGGTTGAGGAGAGAGAACAGCGGTGAAATGACATTCTTGCCCCTGCTGCTTTCTTCTTCCTCTCTCCCTTTCTCTTTTTTCTGTTTCCTGTCCCCGCCACCCTCTCCGCCTCCCGCACCCGCCGTCGTGCATCACGCCGTCGCGGGCGGCTGCGCCTCCAACGCCCGCGCCTCGCGCCTCCGACAGCCTGCTCCGGCGCCGCGCCTCCGACGTCCGCGCTCTCGGCCTCGTGCCCTGCGTGCTCAGCGGTGGACGTCCTGGCCACGGTGTTCGCGGCGTCCGCCAACACCAAGTCAGAAGGGACAGCCACCGCCGTCTGCGACGAGGCGCTCGAGGTCATCTCCTCGCTGCAGGTCCCAGAGCAGTGCTTGCGCCGTGTCGTGGAGACGAACGAGGCGCTCGTCTCACGCTGCAGCGGTTCAGCGCCACATCCAGGGCGCGCGCGGCGCTGCTCCTTGAGCGCGTCACGGCCGAGCTGCCACCCAGCAGGCTGGCGTCCCTCCCGTAGCAGGTGTTTAGTGAGGCCGTGGAGCTACTCCGCGGCATGCTGGCCGTCTCAAGGCCCGCGACAAAGGCGGCTGCGTGACGCGTTTCGTCGCGCGGCGGCGGCGTGGGGACGCAAACGCGTCAAAGCGGTGACGCCCGGCGCGATGCCCGTGCTTTCGTCGACATGCTCTTCGACGACGGGCGGAGCGCCGCTTCGCGGCGAAGCTTGTCTGGCGGCGCTGACCGCTGTCGCGAGTCTTGCGAGGGGCGCTTGCTGCGGCGTGGTGGCGCTTGATCCGGAGTAGTACGTTGTTGCTAACCTCGCCTCCCTCCCCCGCACGCTCAGAGGTCGGGGCTCACTGACTTCCATGGCCGCGCTCCACCATGGCCGGCGACCCAGCGCGGCTCTGAGCCTGCGGCCGGAGATGGCCTCCGCTCGTCATGGCCGTGGCTGCGGCAGCTCGCCAACTCGTCCGCGCACCTGCATGGCCAGGGCTGGTCGATGACAGTGGCTGCTGCTCAGCAATGGAAGAAGAGAAGAGGAGGAAGAAGAAGATGACAAATGGGGCCCGCACGTCAGTGAGAGGGAGAGGGGCGGACCCAACTGTGGCTTAGGGGCACCGGATGTCCAAAACGAAATTTTCTCTCTCCTCAACCGGATGCAACCGGTACACGGTGTCCTGTGGCCTAATTTCACCAAACCAAAGTATCTTCTGGCAAACTACTCAAAACAGGATGTCCACGAGCAAACGACCATCACTTGGATGTCCGTCACACAATTTTCCCTTATTTAACGGGGTGCATGCATGCGCAGTACGATCGTGGAGCTTGAGCTGCTGATGGTATTAGACGCGCGCGATGTGCAGCATGCTTCACCATATGTGGTTAGACCCGCTCATGCTGCATGAGATGAGAGATTATACATATTGTGGACGGAGGACATGCAGAAACATTTAAATCAAATCAAATCAAATCAAATGGTTATAAACACGACTGACCCTATCATTTTGCTCGGATCCAGTCGTCACAGTCACGGCGACACTACGATCCCGCTTGCCTCTGCCTTTGTCGAAAAAACATTCCATTATGATGGCGGCGATGCAGGGCAAATTGCAGACCAAAAATGAGAGGCACCACATCAGGGCGACAAGTGCACTGGCGAGCACTAAAAACAGTAACCTGCTAACAACAAGAGGTAGCCACAGCCACTATGTATATTATTAGTCCTACTCTAGTCGTAGTAGAATGTTGTTGGACATAGTGTGTGTGTGTGTGTATATATATATATATATATATATATATATGTGTGTGTGTGTGTGTGTGTATGTATGTATATATTGCTCTCGATCTTCATTTTAATTTATATATAAGAAAGATGTTTTAGTTTTTCTAGATATACAGTAAGTAATATATATATATAGAAAAAGTAAAAGCTATATATATATAACCAGAAAAATCAAAACATGCATCTTGTAATTTGAAACAGGAAACACATCCGGTACCCGCCCATAGGCGACGTAGATGGAGGCGCCGATGGCGACCAAGATGAGCGGGATGGACAACACCACTCCACTGGTGGTTCCGGCGAGGTAGGCGCCACCACGAGGCACGTGAGGTCGAGCAAGGTGACAAAGAGGAGCAACTGGACTCTCGCCTTCCAGTTGAGGAGCAGCGCGACTATGACGAGCGACGTCATGAACGACATGGAGTTGGTGTAGTAGAACGTCAGGTACCACGAGGGGGCGTTGGTTTGCAGCACCGGCGTGCCGGCGGTGTGGTGGCCGGGGCTGTCGTCCTGCCACATGCCGCCTGGCCGGTTGAGGCCGGCGGCGTAGGTGATGGACACGGCGAGGGTGGCTAGCACCATCAGCCACTCGCGCATCTTGTCCGGCGCATCCTTCTTCACCTCCCACTTCTGCCTGTCTTTCTTGATTGACTCCAACAGCTTGTCGAGGTGCCTCTCGAACTCGAATCAGTTCTTCCCCGAAGCGCGAGTTGCTGCTTCTTCCTCTTCTTTCTTCCGAGCATCTTCTTCCTCTTCCTTCTTCTTCTGAGCAACATCTTCTTTTCAGTGACGGAGTCAGCATTCTAGATATTACGTGGGGGTACGAACTCAAAAAAAAAAACATATATATATAACTGGGAGCACGTAGCCCTGTTCCCGCCCAGGTGGACCCCTATCGGCAACTGGGAGGCCGATATGTTCAGGCACCGTGTACAGACCCCTATCGGCAACTGGGAGGCCGATATGTGCCTGTCGACTCTCCAGCGCCGTGTACAGGAACCTATCGGTTAATGGGAGGCCGATATGTGCCTGTCGACTCTCCAGCGCCGTGTACGTGTACAGGCCGATATGTTCCTTTGGGGTCGTGCGTGTGTATAGCTCCCTATCGGCTACTGGGAGGCCGATATGTGATATATATATATATATAGAACTAAGAGCACTGATTGAACGTCCTAGACATCTTAATATATACTGTAATACACATGCACAATAATACAACAACAAAACATTTAAGTCCCAAACAAATTGGGCTAGGCTAGAATTGAAACCTATCAGAAGTAATTAAGGTTCAGGCACGTGAATAGCTGTCTTCCAAGCACTCCTATCTAAAGCTAAGTCTTTGGGTATATTCCATCATTTCAAGTCTTCTTTTATTGCCTCTACCCAAGTCAACTTCGGTCTTCCTCTGCCTCTCTTCACGTTACTATCCTGGCTTAGGATTCCACTACGCACCGGTGTCTCTGAGGGTCTCCGTTGCACATGTCCAAACCATCTCAACCGGTGTTGGACAATCTTTTCTTCAATTGGCGCTACCCCTAATCTATCACGTATATCATCGTTCCGAATTCGATCCCACATGCACAATAATACAAAATCATTAATTGTACATGTTACAGAAAACAAGGGAATTCCAAGGAATTAATACCTAAGAATACCGCTAGCGCCGCCTCTACTTCTTCCTTCTTCTTGCGAGCATCTTCTTCCTCCTCCTTGCTCCGATTCCGATGAGCAGCAGCAGCTTGTTCTTCGTTGTCGTCGGTAAGGTTGGGTCTATCAGCTGTACCCCCAGTAGCTCCGGCTCCGCCATTGTTGTTATTGTTGTTTCCTGGATGATTTCGCCATCAGACGGCCGACGTGCACTCGTCATTGTGAATGAATTTTGTGATGCGCGCTGGCGCCGGCGCCGGCGACGGTGGTGGTTCCGATCCTGGCCGGATTTCATTCAGGTGTTGGATTTATTTACATATATACGACAACGCGAGACCGTGTGACATACATGCGTGCTGTAGCGCTTTCGCGCGGCCACCAAGCAAAGCAATTCCTCCGCCGCGCCCTTGCTTGCTGGAGCCTCTCAAATACGAGCATATTGAACTTTACTTGGTTTGTTTATTTAGTGAATGTCACCGACACAAGGGTACTTGTGCAGCTTTTTGAGGCAACCCCAAGAAATTGTTTTTCCTTTTTTTTTTTTTTAAATACAATTTATACGCAGAAGGTAACTTTTTAATTTACCTTCGATCTATCTATTAGCTTTGTATCTGGAGTTCTGGACGAAAAATAATTGTGTTCAATCTCAAGGCCTAGATATTACCACACTAATTAGAGATAAAAAACAAAATTACCCACTACAGTCAAATAAGTTACCGTTCACGAAGTATACTAAAGCAACAACTGATCCTACTCATTTATTCTTAAAAAAAAACAAGGGAACCATCTATGCCAAACAATGCTCCTTTGTTCAATTTTGAACTAGAATGGCCCTATGTGATGCTTTTTCCAGTCTTTTTAAAGAAATCTTGACGGATGTACATGACGGCCACACCTTTAGAAAGGTGGTTGGCAAAATTTAGGGAAAAAAAATTGGGTGCAAACCGTATCCACGGTACAAAATATTTTGTCTGTTTTGACTGCAAGAGAAATTTAAAAAGGAAAGCTTGGAAACGACTAAAGAAAAGAAGCGAAAAAAAGGGGGGAAATAAATTTTAAAAAGAAAACTTGCAACCCATTTTAATAAAAAGGAGCGGAAAAAGAGAATAAAACGTGGTCGGCAGGATTCGAACCTGCGCGGGCAAAGCCCACATGATTTCTAGTCATGCCCGATAACCACTCCGGCACGACCACTTTTTGATTCCTGTGCGTTCGTAATTTTATTTTATATGATGTAACCTCCTTCGTTTTATTCAAAAGCACACCCGCCAAAATCAGTTCATAGTTTGGTAGGTACAAAGGCGTCGTCGACAACTCGACACACAAATGCAATGGCACTGCCAATGGCACTAGCAGAGGTCACATCGTCGCATCGATCATCACAACACCAGAGATGGAAGCTCTGTCTCGAATCTCTCGATCGATCGCGTCCACCGCGCGCAGTCGTCATTCCAGCTTCTGCACCTGGTGCGCGGGCCTCCGGGACGCCGCCACCGGCGTGTACTCCAGCAGCGGGCGAACCGGCGGGGCCGGAAGAGCGGCGGGAGGCGGGCGACGTGCGGTGATCGCGCTCGTGGTCGGGCCGGCGGCGGCGGGCGTGGACGACAGCAGGAGGCGGAAGGTCCAGGCGAGGACGTCGGGCGCGAAGACGCGGAAGACGAGGAAGACGTCGTACCAGCTGGCGCGCTTGACGTAGGCGTCGCCGCGGCAGGCGCCGGCCACCAGTGCCCGCGCGTACGCCTCCACGTGCCCTCCCCCCGGCAGCGCTGCCGCCGCCGCCGCCTCGCGCTCTTCCTGCTTCCACTGCACCTCCGCCGCACCTTCGTGGTGGTCCAGCGTGAACTTGCCGCCGCCGGCGTCGCCGCCGACCCAGCCGTGCGTCGCCACGGTCACGCCCACCTCATCCTTCACCTCGTACCGGAGCGTCTCGTAGAAGTCCACCACCGCCGCCTTCGCCGCCTGTTGTGCCGTGCCACATCATCAGTAGTTGCGGCAAACAGCTTTCTTCTTCAGAGTTCAGACAAGAAGAAGGGGGGGAAAAGCAGGCTTGTCATCATACAGAGTAGAGGCTCATCCTGGGCATGGGGAGCCAGCTCTCGACGGACGCGTTGACGACGACGCGGTCGTGCCTCCGCCGGAGGTAGGGCAGCGCGGCGTAGGTCGGGTACACGTTGCCCCAGAAGTTGATGTCCTGCATTCATGCGTTGCGCTTAGATTCTGTCTTTCTGACATGACGACATGCATGCTGATCAGACGATCCTACCACCATACCATGAGGTGAGGGAAGGCCGTGGTGTCGCCGGCCTCCTCGAAGCTGAAGTCGTGGCTCAAGCTCACGGTGTTCACCAGATGGTTCACTGCCCACGCATGCATGCCCAGGTGTGTGTCAGAAGAAGGTAAGGGTTGCAGTTGCAGACAAATTAAAGAGGATCATTTGACGACTCACGCTGCCCGAAGTAGCTGACGGTGTCGGCGACGAGCCTCCGGCAGTCCTCTTCCTTGACGACGTCGGCGGCGATGACGAGGACCTGGCCGGCGCCCAGCTGCCGCGCGTTGTCGCGGATCCCGAACAGCCGCTGCTCCCGCCGCGCCACCAGCACCAGGCTCGCGTTCCGCCGGGCGTACTCGTACGCGATTTGCTGCGTCGCATGCGGTGGCCGTCGTCGTGTGTCATGCTACTAACTAATTGATCTGAACGAATTAACTAATCTGCCGTACGATACGTACCTCGCCGATTGCGGAGGATGCGCCGGTGATGACGACGACCTTGCCGAGCATGTCCTCCTTGGTGAGTGTCTTGAGCGCCCACTCGACGCCGCGCAGGAACGACAGCGTCGGCCACGCGAACGCCAGCATCACCATGCTCGCCGGCGGCACCACCAGGTCCATCACCGCGTTCACCAACCGATCCATCCTAGCTTTAGCCCTTCCCTCGATCGATCACTCCCTGTCAACTCGATCCACACCTGATCCCTGCAGCCTGCAATGATCTTACTCTGAATGAGAATGCTGCGTGGATGAGGTGAGGGAGAAGAGATCGAATGGAGGAGATGGAGTAGTCACTTGACGAAGCCGAGTTGTGCTTCTGTAGTCTGAGGAACGGACCGGCCGGGGATAAGGACAGGCGAGGGTGGTGGCAGACGGACGGGTGTGGTGCATGGCGGGCAGCTGCGTGCGAGGGCCTGCCGGCTGCCGCCATGCGCACGTCAGTCCAGGACCAGGAGGAGGCACGCTTTGGCCACTTCCTCCTGCACGGCTCCCTCTGCGTATGCGTATAGTACGTGCTAGCCGCCGCTCTAGCTTAGGTACTTGTGTCGCTCGAGACGTCTCCTGCCTGCTCTGCATCTGCATATACGTGCCACTTCTGAATTCACCGCTGTTGTCAGCTGGTTATCCTTCAGTAAATTGAGCAGTTGTCTCTGTATGTCTCGAGTCTTTTTGGTGTAGAGCGATAAAAAAGGTTATTCTCTAAGAAACTGTACAAATGAGGTAAAATCACGGTCAAAGTAAAACTGATCTCATTCAGCTTCTGTGTTTAGTACAATTAGGTGTTGTAGGGAGAAGTGGCCGGGAAAAAAAATAGTAAAAAATATACAGTTTGGCTTTTAATATATAATCTGATAGTTTGGAGTCAGTCACAAAAAAAAAGGGAGAGATCCGATAGTTAGGAGTCAAAGTAATACCACCGTACAGATTTAGAGATTCAAATATCAAAATTTTAATGACACTGTTCTGCAAGTTTAGGAACCGCTTATGAATTTTACTCGCTGTTGAATTAGGACAGTGGAAAAGTGAATACTCCAGCAGTTGACGGTCAGTGGTTGTGAAATTTTCGTATTTTGGTCTTTTTTGAAAACAATTTTTAGAAAAATACCAACGCCAAAACATTTTCTGAAAATAGACCATTTTAGGTGTCTTAGCACATGACGCCGAGATATGAGGCTCGGCGTCGTGTCACTCGACGCCGAGGTACTGCCACGTCACGGAAGACCGGGGTCGTCGTCGACACGTTGGCGCGTGGGTCCGAGACGTCGGCGTCGTGTCAGCCGTCGCCAAGTACCCAACCTCGGCGTGTTCAGACCGAGCGCCGAGCTCTGGCTCGGCGTTGGGTCACTTAACGCCGAGCCTCCAGACCTCGGCGTGAAACCGACTCAACGCCGAGGTCTGGACCCTTTAGGCCGCGCCGAGGCCCCTTCTTCTTGTTCCCTCCCCTCCTCCATTCCCCCACGGCTCCCAAATCCCCCACGGTCCCCACGAAACTCTAACCTCCAAAATCGACCCCCGGTGCCCGGATCTTGTCCTCCCGAAGCTTCCTCGAGGTAATGGTCCCTCCCCTCCTCCATTCTATCCGCGTAGATGTACTTACATTGTCCCTAATCATTTGGAATCATGGTTGTTTGGTGATTTGGTATATTTGTGTTTGCATTTGCAAAATGTATGGCTTAGGATCATTGAGTGCATTGTTGTTTAACTGTTTTATGTGATGAACATGTTAGGTTAGTTTGGTTTCTAGTTATTTTGGTCATTAGGGTTATTTGTTTATTGTAGGTGTCATTAGGGTTAGTTATTTGTTGGTCATTAGGGTTACTATGTATTTTATTTATTTGTTGGTCATTACATTTTAATTTGTTATGATCAAGGCGTTTTGCCAAGGTACTCCTCTTTCCCCTCTTTCAATTCATTCATTTAGATTCGTTTGTTTTTAAACTTGGCATTATAGGTTTGGTTCATGTTCATGTCATTCGTGCAATGTATGGTGGTTCAAATGATTGAATGACCCAAATATATGGTTGTTGGTGTTGTTGTTGTTGTATATGTTATGGTTTATAATCATTGAGTTAAATTTTGTGTTTGTTGGGATTCAAATTTGTTTAGGGTTTGTAATGAAAAGCTTATTTGGGAGGTATGGTGATGTAGTGTTAGTACCTTTACATTCGTTGCAAGGTACTTTGGATTGATTTTTTTTCTACGTAATGTTAGGATGCCAAGGCGTGGTAAAGCTCGTATTCCAAGGTAATTCCAATGTTTATTCATTATCTGTGCAACAAATAGAAAATCCTAGGTTTAGGTTTGGTTCTCCGTTAATATGACTAAATTCTTTCAATTGTAGCTATGGTCGCCGAGAGGCAAATCCCCTACGACCTAAAGCCTCTCCTGAAGGTGTTTCTCGACCAATGTGCTTTTGTGGTGATCCTTGCAAGGTAGACATCTCGAAGATGAGGAAACATATAGACAGAGGTACTGGATGTGTCCCAATTATGCATGGGAACCTACAAAGCAACAACGCCGTGCATCGTTTGTGAGGAATTTTATTGTGTTAATTAATTTTCTTGTGATATTAAGTATTGCTTTATTTATTTGTTTTGTAACAATTTGTTTTTCTTGCAGACCGTTCCACCACTTTGTGTGACTTTGAGCAAAGTGGATTGACACTTTGAGATCAAGGAGTCGGACAAGCGGCGTCTAGAAGGCCTGAAGGAGTGGGATGCGGAGGTTAAGGAGAGGTTTGAGCAGAGACGACCTGGAGGCTATAGAAAAGGAGCATAAGGAAGAGGATGAAAGGAGGCGTGTTGTTGCTGCGTGATGTATGGAGGAGAGGAGAAGAAGCTTGAGCGTAAAGCGCCGAGCGAAGGCAGCGATGGAGGAGAATTCGATGCCGAGAGGAAGGGAAAGTGGCCTCGTTGCTTTTCAAGAGGTATTTGGTTCATTCACGAGCGATGTCGTGTAGCCCTAGACTTTTTTTACTATGTTGTAATGCACTCTGCTTTTATTTCAGATGAACTTATTCCCTAGACTTTTTTTATTATGTTGTAATGCACTATGATTTTATTTCAGATGGTCTTATGTCCCTGTACTTCGTTAACTATCCTAAGACCTGTAGTGGTAATTGTTTGTATCCTTTGAAAAAGACTACTTGTGTTGTTGCGATCCTTTGAAAGGGCTACAGTGTAATGTTATTACCATCCTTTGAAAAGGGCTACAAGTCTATTTGAAAACTCACTGAAAAGCCTAAATTCGTTTATTGTTGTATCCGTATACGCAATGAATTAATATCAGAGTGATGTACTGCATTTAGATGAAGTGACAAAACAGGTGTAGCCTTTTCAGATGAAATGACCAATCATGGTTGTAGGCTTTTCAGATGAAGCATCTAGCCTTTGCAGATTCAATAAATGAGTACGCACACATGTTTTTTGTCAAGTAGCATTCATGGTGAACCTGCCTTCATCTCTATATATAGTGCTCCATGTCTTGCTCCACATCCACACAATTTGTTTTCTGGTTTAGTTTTAGCAAATGTCGAGCGGAGGTTCCTCGAGTGGAAAGGGTTTCGACGGAGGGAGAGGAAAGGGGGTGAGGAAGGGACCTCCGATTGTGTGAGAGGGTTCTCTGGGTCCTGATTCTTTTCAAGAACCAATAGAGGAATTTCCTTTGGAGAGGAAGAGTGACTTCACCCGTGAGAGACCTCTTAGATCATACGAGAAGCGCATTGAAGATTGGCCAAAATGCCGCCACGGTTTGGATTGCGTTGTGCAGATGTACAACGACTGTGAAAGGTTTGGCTTGAATGCTTCGATGCTCTGCCCGAACGCCCAAAACGCCCTTCCAAATACCTGGCTACCATTTCTTGTTTCACCCTCCTTAGGTAAATACTCGAAGTGCATCCCAGGATTTACGACCCTCATTGCGTTCAACATTACAGGGAGGCGCTCATAAGCTTCTTCCCAATTTCCAAATATTATTTCCAGTGCACGCTGCTTTGCTCTCCATGCTTTCCCATACTTGACATAGTAATTGTACCGTTGGAAGATGATCTCAACCAACGCAGACACTGTAATGGTTGGCATATGCTTCACCACGGGGCATAATTGCCTTGCAATGAACCTAGAATTAAGCTGCAGATGGTTCTCTTCTGCCTCAGCAGTGACACAAACATGTGGTTGCTTCACTGAGGTAATCTTCCATTTGCCTGCCTTCGTCTTCCTAGCACATACTCTCCAACCACACTGTTGTTCTTCACAAGCAACAGTGTACCTCTTCTCCTTGAATGAATTGATGACCCTAAAAGGTCGGTTGTGTACAATGGTGTACTCTTGCAACCATGATTTCAACTCATCCATGGTAGCAAACAATATGCCCTTCCGTATGATGAGGCAACCGCTAACATCAGGCACAGTTGTATCACTTGGCCCACCATCAACTACTGCCCTATGACCATGGCTAAGGTCATCGAAATCACCAACTAGTGGATCTCTCCAAGGCAAGACTGAAAGTGCATCTAGCCCTTTAGTGAGTTTTGGATGATTGAATGACAACACGATTAAAGGACTAACATGTTTGCTAAGTGTTAGACAGGAAGTTGATTATCTCACAGATACTTGATGAAATTGTATAAAGCCAAAATGATGTATTGTTGTATAAACAATCTAGTTCAAGCACAAGACAACAATGCAAATGGAATTCATGCAAATGCTTATTTATTGTGGGATTTCAATGATCTATGTGAAAGCAAGCACGATAAGAGTCAATTAATGAGACATGAGGGATTGCATATGGAATGGTCTCATATTTGAAGCTTGCTAAATTAAAATGAAAAAGATAACAATACATATGAATGGATGATTCAACACAAGATGTGACTTGATGGCTTGAGATGGTGAAGATAGCAAGGAAAGGCTTCGAGGTACTAAGCAAGGGTGAAGGGCAAGCGACGGCTTGGCGGCCGAAGAACCTAGCTAGGGTGAAGAAGAAAGTACTTGCATTTAGTTGAGGTACTAGTCAAGCTAAGATGGTCATATTGATGTGAAGGATCAAATCTATAATGAAGTATTTGATGGAAGTGACTTGATACATTTGGGATTATTCAAACTTGATGAATGGAATCAAGTCACATGCTCAAGATGGCTATGCTC